CTCAGCTTTTCTCATGTATAAGATGAGGAGCTACCTTACAGCATCATTATGCAGTTTAAATAATTTGTGCCAAGGTCTAGCCCATGCCTAACACAAAGTAAGTATTCGGTAAATGCCAGCTGCCACTAAGTGCTGAATAAATCGTATTATTATTTTGTTACTATTACTGTGAGCTAGGCAATGGAGGAGTTAATACAAGGAGAAAGCAAATAGTCTGTGCTCTACAATGGCTCCTGTCTGGCAGAGGCACAGACACGAGACAGACTTTCAGACCCAGCAGGCCGTGGCTGCTCATAGGTCAGGGATTGGATGCACAGAGAAGGGAAGGGGGCTGGGAGGGGGATGTGAGGTTGCACCTGGGTCTTGAAGGGCGAGTGGGATGCTGATGGGTGGACACAGCAGGTGACACAGAGGCGGCGACCAGGTGCTGGGCGGTTGGGCCCAGGGCAGTGACAGATGGGGGTAGCGTTATGGTTGGCTAGAAGGACAGATTGTGTCGACAGCTTAGCAGCGTCACTGTGCCCTCTGCATCCCAGCGCAGGGGCTGACATGACCGCCTTCCCTCCTGCAGCCCGCTCTCAGAAGACTTCAGGCATTGGGCGTCTGATGGTGCACGTCATTGAAGCTACAGAATTAAAAGCCTGCAAACCAAATGGTAAATGCTTTCTTCCTTCAGAGACATGGTAACTGCCCCACTCTTTGCTGATGAGTCTTCTGAACACTGGATAGCGGGATACTTTTGGAGTCAGCATGTCCAGTGCCACTGAAATGGTGATAAGCTAGTTTATTGGACCAATATTATCCTCACTGTTTCCCCAGTAAGTACCACTGCCTGCCTTCCTGGTGCTTCTGCACGGAGAAAGCACACCGCAGGCTGCACTGACGTTACCCACGCCTGCTCTGTGGGGGCAGTCCTGGCGTTCGAGCTCCCAGTCGCTCCCCAGACTTAGGCTGTTGTCAGTCCTGGGAACACGGAGGCTGTGCCACCAGACCACAAGGCGAACGTAGCCCCCCAGGCGGTGACTCCTGCTGCTGTGGTCCCTGGTGAAGCCTCGTTTCAGATTCTGCTGCTGCTCAGTGATGGCTGTTAGTCAGTCGTTTCAGCTACATGCGCCACATGTGTCTGTGGTTTGTTTCTGTTCAGGAAAGAGCAATCCATACTGTGAAATCAGCATGGGCTCCCAGAGCTACACTACCAGAACCATCCAGGACACACTAAATCCCAAGTGGAACTTTAACTGCCAGTTCTTTATTAAGGATCTTTATCAAGATGTGCTGTGTCTCACCATGTTTGACAGAGACCAGTTTTCCCCAGACGGTAAGTGTGACTCGGCGAGGGGAGCTGAAGTTTTTCCCAGCTTTCTAGATCCTGGGTCTGGATCCAGGATGGTCAGCCCTATGTATGCCCCGTGACGCCTCAGGGAAAGGACACTGGCCTGTGGCCGCTCACCTTGGCAGCAAGTGAGTGTCCTTCCTCAGGGAGAGAGGGTGGCCTCGCTCCCAGTCACTGCCGGCACACACGAGGTCACACTGCCCCGGCACATACCGATGGGCAGAGCATTCTCAGTGCAGAGGCTTGAGTGCCTGTCAGTCACCTGCTCTCGCGCCAACTGCCGTTCTCCATGCGTCCACCCACAGTGGCAGACATCCGTAAGTCCCGAGAAGAGGCTTGTTGTGGGTCAGAACGTGTTACAAATCTCATCCCAGACACTCCTCCTGATGTAGGTCTTTCTAAAGAAGAAAGACTTTGACGCTCCTGTGTTTATTCACCAGATTTCCTGGGTCGTACTGAAGTTCCAGTGGCAAAAATTCGAACAGAACAGGAAAGCAAAGGCCCCACCACCCGCCGACTACTGCTGCATGAGGTCCCCACGGGGGAGGTCTGGGTCCGCTTTGACCTGCAACTCTTTGAGCAAAAAACTCTCCTGTAGGGGCCTCCGAAGGACGGCACCCAGGGATCGGCACAGGCTGGGTGGGGAGCAAGGGACTGCGCTCTCCCAGGCCGGGGAGTCATGAGCCTCATCCATCACACAGCCACGCGCTGGGGCCTCTGTCCTGCTGCACACTAAGTCGCTAGCAACCTATGCAAACCCGATCTTTCCTACAAATAAACCAAACCCCTAGCACAGTGCCTTGGATTAGTGTTGACATGTTCAGCTGCGGTTAGATGCCAAGGTTTCCATTTCAGGGCTATAAAAAGTATTATGTGGAAATGAGGCATCAGACCGCCAGAAGTTAGCGCTCAGTTGAATGCGTCCACTGTGGAGTGGTTTGGTGATGCTGTAACCATTCCACGCCATGTGACCGCTGCTGGGCCACAGCCACTCAGGAGGGAAGGGTTGGGATGGAAGGCTGTGGCCTCAGTGCTCGCGTGGCCTGAGGCTGAAATCGAGTCTACTCACGCACTGACCACAGAAACTTGATCAATTTATTCCCAATTAGATTTTATCATTCTCTGCTAAGACAATAGAGTTTGAAAATAAGTGGGAAAGCTTGAGTTACTTTAAATACTGTGAACTCTAATAATGTGGAAAGTATTTTTCAACTTTAATTTTCTGAAGTATAAATTATTTATGTAAATTCCTTGTTTTGCATATTTCATAGGACATGCATCTTTAAGCTTTATCATTGCCAATATGTACAGAAAGAGAATAAAAACATAAGTTTATGAATGTCACTTCTCTCAAGGCTTGACTCATTTACTTTCTATGTGAGAGGCTTCTCTAAGGTAACTTCAGGGGATGCCTGTAAGGATTTCCTTTCTGACACCGGAAGAAAACCAAGGACAGGGTGAGGATGGGCCAGGAGGCCTGGAGCCTCCCCTGAATCTCACTGCGCTTGCCCATGAGGCCCTACCTCGTGTTTCTGGGGCTTGGTCCTTCGATGGTGGAAGGGCTGCCCTCCGGGGGCTGCACCGACCCAGCTGAGCCCTTCAGCTTGGCTTGCTGATAGATACCTTGGGGTCCACAGGGAGAAACACACCGATGCACACCGTCTGGCAGGCCCTTCTCCAGCTGCAGAAGCCCCATCTTGCTCTGTCCCGTCCTGTCAGCACCACAGCCACACCTGTCTGAGCTGCCTGCTCGGCTTCTGAATTTCAAAATGTGAAATTTGTTTTGAATATTGATGAAAATAAGATCCTATACACTAAATCCCTGCATTCATGAGTAAAACTGGAAGATCTGTCCTTTTCAAGGGGTCACTTGGGCTGCAGGAGCCTTAATTTCTAAGCAGGTTTCCGGGCAGCTGGAAAAACCAGGAATGGTTACATGTCCCAAGGGCTCAGGCCTCCACCAGAGCCCCTGCTTCTGTTTAAACATAATGACTGGGGCCATCACGGTGGCTTATACCTGTAATCCCAGCACTTTGGGAGGCCAAGGGGGCAGGATTGCTTGAGCCCAGGAGTTTGAGACCAGCCTGGGCAACACAGTGAGAACTTGACTCTACAAAAAAAAATCAGAAAATTAGCCAAGCATGGTGGCGCGTGCTTATAGTCCCAGCTACTTGGGAGGCTGGGGTGAATCACCTGAACCCAGGAAGTCAAGGCTGCGGTGAGCTGTGATTATGCCACTGCAATCCAGCCTGGGTGTCAGAGTGAGACACTGACAAAAAAAACCAAACAAATTGGCAAAGAAGGGCTGGGAATAAAATCAATATATTCAAATTCTAAAAACCCTTTGCCTTTGCTTTGTTGGTGTAAAAAAAAGAAGAAAACTTACTTATTCCCTGTATTGATCCTGGGCCCTGACTGGTTAAAACATAGACATATGAGAAGAGACACCACTCGTATGAAACCAAAACAACCGAACATATCGCTTGCTCAAGGGGGCGTCTGACTGGTCAGGCACAGCCTTGCTGAGCAGAGTGGCCCGCTGGCCTCCAGAGTGAAGGAGTGGGTTTGCTGGTCACAAGGCCATCCTGGGCGGTGTCAGCAGTGAGACTGCCCCTGACGGATCAGGCAGGTTCAAAAGCAGCTTTGAGCCGGGCTTGGTGGCTCAGCCTGTAATCTCGCGCCTTGGGAGGCTGAAGTGAGTGGATGGCCTGAGCCCGTGGGTTCGAGACCTGCCTGGGCAACTTGGTGAGCCCTCATCTCTACAATAAATCAAAAAATTAGCTGAGTGTGGTAGCGCACGCCTGTAGTTCCAGCTACTTGGAAGGCTAAGGCAGAAGGATCGCCGGAGCCCAGCAGGTTGAGGCTGCGGTGGCTGCGAGTGGCCACTGTACTCCAGTCGGAGTGACAGAGAGAGACTTCAACTCAAAAAAAAAAAGCAGCTTTGGGCTTACTTGGAACCGTAGCAACAGAACCACCCTTGCGTTCCCAGGACTGTGGGGACTTTAATCCTCGCTAGTGTGAACTGTGGCTGGTGCCATTTCTCCAGCACCAGATGTTGGATTTGGGAACAGAGGAGCCTGCAGGGTCAGAGTCAACTTCTGTGGAACTGTGGAGAACAGGGAACGTCAGTACGGCACAGCCAGCAATCCCAGGCCCCCACTTTGACCCAGGAACACACATCTGCCCTTGAGGCATCAACTGGAATGTGCGCCTGGTCTTCTGGAGGGCATGTGGGGGTGGTGCACCCCAAGTCTCTGAACACCCATCCGGAGAGGACTAAGCAGATGTGCTTGCACGTCTGTAAGTCTCCCCTCTGCGGAGGAATTTGCAAGTACTCTTCTGGAGCAAGGTGCCGTGGCGGGGAGGGGACACCCTCTGAAAGGGGACCCAAATTCTGAGCAATCTGACTTCCATTCCAAAGGCTGAAGGTGTGTGAGGAGTGAGTGCGCCCTGCAGAGGTGGGCAATGTGGTGGCACCAGCGAGACTGGACTCGGAGTGGAACGCTGCCGCTGTTGAGCAAGGGCATTGACCTTGAGCAGGTTGCCAAGCCTCTCTGAGCACGTCTTGGGAGATAATCGTACCATCTTGCTGTCAAAACTTTTCAATGAACCCAAAACACCTCACACAGTTCCCGGTTCATAACAAGAGCTCAATACACAGTAACTGTTACTTGAATATTTCTTGCACTTTATTTCCACTTCTCGAGAGAGAACACATGTCTGCAGTATTTTTGTCGTCATCCAGACGCGGCTAACCCGAGCCGGCCGAGCGCCCTTCCGCGCGGTGGCTCTGCCGGGCCGCCCTCTGCAGGGACGCCAGGTGCTTCCCCAGGACCTCCGCCGTCATCACTCTTCTGGCCACAGGCTGCGGCCCCCATCGCTGCCGGCTGTCCCCCGCCGCCCAGGAGCGGGGCCTCTGCCGCCTGGTTCCTAAGACCTGTTGACAGAGGAGGAGGCCTGAGCGTGGGGTAGGGGGGGTCGTGGGAGCAGAGAAGACCCTGCTGACCCCGCCCACACTCCCTCTGCTGGAACCGAGACACCCCAGGCCGGTTCCCAGCCAACCCTCTCACCTCGCCTCTCTCACTCGGGTTTCTGCAACCCCCAGACGAGGCTTCTGATATCTTTGGATTCCACATAGGACCAGGCTTTTTAGGGCATAGGTAGCAGAGGTGGCTAGCTGTCCACAGATGCTGCCCTGCCATTATGTTCACACTAGCCAGGGACTACTGTTCCCAGCACCCCTGTACCCTCCAGTTAGGGACAGACATATGACTGGGGCCTGGCCTATGGAATATCAGGGGAAGTAACATACACCACCTCCAGGCCTG